GTTATTGATCCTGCTGTCAGTGATGCTGCTGTCAGTTATTGATCTTGCTGTCAGTGATGCTGCTGTTGTCAGTTATTGATCCTGCTGTCAGTGATGCTGCTGTCAGTTATTGATCCTGCTGTCAGTTATTGATCCTGCTGTCAGTGATGCTGCTGTCAGTTATTGATCTTGCTGTCAGTGATGCTGCTGCTGTCAGTTATTGATCCTGCTGTCAGTGATGCTGCTGTCAGTTATTGATCCTGCTGTCAGTTATTGATCCTGCTGTCAGTGATCCTGCTGTCAGTTATTGATCTTGCTGTCAGTGATGCTGCTGCTGTTAGTTATTGATCCTGCTGTCAGTGATGCTGCTGTCAGTTATTGATCCTGCTGTCAGTTATTGATCCTGCTGTCAGTGATGCTGCTGTCAGTTATTGATCTTGCTGTCAGTGATGCTGCTGCTGTCAGTTATTGATCCTGCTGTCAGTGATGCTGCTGTCAGTTATTGATCCTGCTCTCAGTTATTGATGCTGCTGTCAGTTATTGCTGCTGCTGTCAGTTATTGATCTTGCTGTCAGTGATGCTGCTGCTGTCAGTTATTGATCCTGCTGTCAGTGATGCTGCTGTCAGTTATTGATGCTGCTGTCAGTGATGCTGCTGTCAGTTATTGATTCTGCTGTCAGTTATTGATGCTGCTGTTGGTTATTGCTACTGGTGTCAGTTATTGATGCTGCTGTCGGTTATTGATGCTGCTGTCAGTTATTGATGCTGCTGTTGGTTATTGATGCTGCTGTCAGTTATTGATGCTGCTGTTAGTTATTGCTACTGGTGTCAGTTATTGATGCTGCTGTCAGTGATGCTGCTGTCAGTTATTGATGCTGCTGTTAGTTATTGCTACTGGTGTCAGTTATTGATGCTGCTGTCAGTTATTGCTACTGCTGTTGGTTATTGATCCTGCTGTCAGTTATTGATGCTGCTGTCAGTTATTGCTGCTGCTGTCAGTGATGCTGCTGTCAGTTATTGATCCTGCTTTCAGTTATTGCAGCTGCTGTTGGTTATTGATGCTGCTGTCAGTTATTGCTGCTGCTGTCAGTGATGCTGCTGTCAGTTATTGATCCTGCTTTCAGTTATTGCAGCTGCTGTTGGTTATTGATCCTGCTGTCAGTTATTCATGCTGCTGTCAGTGATGCTGCTGTCAGTTATTGCTGCTGCTGTCAGTGATGCTGCTGTTGGTTATTGATGCTGCTGTCAGTTATTGCTACTGCTGTTGGTTATTGATCCTGCTGTCAGTTATTGATGCTGCTGTCAGTGATGCTGCTGCTATTATTGCTGCTGCTGTCAGTTATTGATCCTGCTTTCAGTTATTGCAGCTGCTGTTGGTTATTGATCCTGCTGTCAGTTATTGATGCTGCTGTCAGTGATGATGCTGTCAGTTATTGCTGCTGCTGTTGGTTTTTGATCCAGCTGTCGGTTATTGATGCTGCTGTCAGTTATTGATGCTGCTGTCAGTTATTGATGCTGCTGTCACTGATGCAGCTGTCAGTTATTGGTCCTGCTGTCAGTTATTGATTCTGCTGTCAGTTATTGATCCTGCTGTCAGTTATTGATGCTGCTGTCAGTTATTGATCCTGCTGTCAGTTATTGATCCTGCTGTCAGTTATTGATGCTGCTGTCGGTTATTGATCCTGCTGTCAGTTATTGATGCTGCTGTCGGTTATTGATCCTGCTGTCAGTTATTGATGCTGCTGTCAGTTATTGCTGCTGCTATCAGTTATTGATCCTGCTGTCAGTTATTGATTCTGCTGTCAGTTATTGATCCTGCTGTCAGTGATGCTGCTGTCAGTTATTGATGCTGCTGTCAGTTATTGATCCTGCTCTCAGTTATTGATCCTGCTGTCAGTTATTGATACTGCTGTCAGTTATTGATCCTGCTGTCAGTGATGCTGCTGTCAGTTATTGATGCTGCTGTCAGTTATTGATCCTGCTCTCAGTTATTGCTGCTGCTGTCAGTTATTGCTGCTGCTATCAGTTATTGATCCTGCTGTCAGTTATTGATGCTGCTGTCAGTTATTGATCCTGCTGTCAGTTATTGATGCTGCTGTCAGTTATTGATCCTGCTCTCAGTTATTGCTGCTGCTGTCAGTTATTGCTGCTGCTATCAGTTATTGATCCTGCTGTCAGTTATTGATCCTGCTGTCAGTTATTGATGCTGCTGTCAGTTATTGATCCTGCTGTCAGTTATTGATGCTGCTGTCAGTTATTGATCCTGCTCTCAGTTAATGCTGCTGCTGTCAGTTATTGCTGCTGCTATCAGTTATTGATCCTGCTCTCAGTTATTGCTGCTGCTGTCAGTTATTGCTGCTGCTATCAGTTATTGATCCTGCTGTCAGTTATTGCTGCTGCTGTCAGTTATTGATCCTGCTGTCAGTTATTGCTGCTGCTGTCAGTTATTGATCCTGCTGTCAGTTATTGCTGCTGCTGTCAGTTATTGCTGCTGCTCTCAGTTATTGATCCTGCTGTCAGTTATTGATCCTGCTGTCAGTGATGCTACTGCTGTCAGTTATTGATGCTGCTGTCAGTTATCGATGCTGCTGTCAGTTATTGATCCTGCTGTCAGTTATTGACCCTGCTGTCAGTTATTGATGCTGCTGTACAGTATAGTGTTTACATGAATTACCCGCAGCAGATCTATACAGGTCGAGCTGGGCAAGGAGAGGGTTTCTGAAAGCACACTGCTACAGCAAATGCTGAACAAGTATTTGAAGGTTGAGCAGCGAGCTCATTGGCTGCTGATACAGCAGGAACCAATCAGCCGTGGCTGCCCCATAGAGAATGGTGTGATTGCAAGCAGATTGAGTTAGTTGAGTTGAGTTTCAGAAGATATCTGAGAAAATGTCAAGCTATACATTTAAAAGAAGAGAAAACAAGTTGTTTTATTTCAGATAACAGCTCAACCTATGAGTTATAAAAATCACAAAGTAGATCTTAATATCACAGTTTCTCAGACAAGAGATCAAATAGAGTCTTTCTCTAAAGTATCCAACTTTCTCATGAGAAAAAGACCTTGGTAATCTAATTTCTAGAGTTTTAGAAGTGATGCAAGAAAATGTAAAGCTTTGCAATCAGCAGAATCGAAATAAAGTTGTTTTATGGATTTTATCCTGAAACAAAAACCTGTTTTGTCTCCTCCAGAGTTTCACAACAGATCTAAAAATATGTGTTCTTATTTGTCAATACAAGTTAACTTGTAAGATATTTCAACATGGGCTCAGACATTCCTTGTTTGACCAAATGACCTGAGCTGCTATTAACATGAATCATTATCTATGTCAAGAATAGATAAAGATAAGATAAGATTTTTTTTTCTTTTTTTTGGAGAAACATCTGAGACTTAAAAGAAACACAAAGCATAAATCAAACCCTGAGTGGTCCATTTTTCTTTGGCATCACATTTCTGCAACGCTTTGGGTCTGTTTGTCTTTCTTCTCTGGCTTTTGTCTCCGTTTGGAGGCAGAACGTGGTTTCTTTATCTGTTGCGTTAATGGGATGTGCTGTAAAAATCTGCCTTTCCAATGCCACCCACACAAACACTCGACTGTGATAAAACAAGCCATTTACTTTTGTTTTCTGCCACTGGTTTCTGTCTTTCCCACTTGGACTATAGTTTGTCTCTACTGCTAATACAGATAACAGCCAATCAAGAGTCTCAGTTTGACAAGTATATTGCTCATAGCACTGGGAGAGTGAATATGGCAGATAGTTTTAGTAATGGGTAAAAAGTCATCATGTCATTGGCGGTAGTGTCCAGATCCTCAGCAGAGATTTGACTGTGTGTGGCAAAGAAATGAACTGAATCATCATGTCATGGTTGAATTGAACTCATGAATTCTGTGTTCGCTGTGATTTCGCCAACTAGGCCGTGTTCCTGCATCAACACAACAACATTCCTGTCAGCCAATCACATTTTTGAGCCAAAAATTGCTTCAGTATTCAGTTGCCGCTACTGATCATGGACAGTTCAGTCTTCGCCAGGGTTATTATAATTTTTAATTTAGTTTAATTTTACTTTTCACTAAGGCTGTCAAACGATTAATCGCGATTAATCGCATCCAAAATAAAAGTTTGTGTTTACATAATATACTGTATGTGGGTGCACTGTGTATAATTATTATATATATATATATATAAATACATACACATGCCTGTATATATTTAAGAAATATTTTCATGTATATACTGTATATAGATTTATATATAATTTAAATATAAATATTTTACATATACGTCATATTTTTTTCTTAAATATACATGCATGTGTGCTTGTTTATATATATATATATACAAAATAATTATACACAATGCACCCACATCATGTAAACACAAACTTTTATTTTGGATGCGATTAATCGCGATTAATCGTTTGACAGCCCTACTTTTCACTTTGTCATTGTTTAGTTTTCTGATTTTTTGCTGCATTTTCATGTTTAATGTAGGCAACATTTAAAGGTTATAGTATGTCATGTATCAAAAACTAAAGCTAAATGAATTTTTTTGTCATTTTTATTTCAGTTTTCGAGTTTTAGTTTAGATCGTTTTCCCCCATTTTTATTTTTAATTGAATTCTAGAGTTGTCAATGTTTTATTTCACTGTATTGAAAGAAGTTAAAGGGATTTCCAAAGAGGAAAGTTGTTAAAGTGCATATTTTAAAGGAAGACGTTTACGTAAAATAACACATGAATTTGTGCAACCGTCTTTCCTCCAGATAGCCAATTTACTCGCACAACAGTTTCGGAGAGCATTGCGTGGTTCATGTGGTGCGTTTGGCTTCCCATAGAGCTCATAACTAAATAAATCAAGCTGCCTTACGATTAGAGAGGATAATTTGGCACGCACATGTGAGGGATGTCAGCACTTCGAAAATAAACGGCAAAACCAAAACAAAGACATTTAATAATGAGTCAATCTCTCTCTCCATTGGTTGCGAGTGTGTTTGGTGACTCCTGTCTCTTCTGTTCCTCCTCAGGTAATGCGTGTCAGAGCAGACTGGTGCCAGCGCTGGTTCGAGCTTCTCTGCCCACTGTGCCAGCCTCTCTGGGCATGAAGCACTTCTTCCCCTTTCCTCTGGACAGCGGATCCACACTCAGCCTCATTCCCAGCTTCAGCACCGTGAGTCTCACACACACTACATCTGGAGGTGCTAATGAAGTTCACTCGATTCTTGCGCCAGTGGTTACACACACACACACACCGCCGGTCGTGGTTCGAGGAGAGTGTTAGTGTGATAATTGTCACATGAGTGCTGGTATTTTGCTGGTGCTGCATGGGCTTTTTTTGTCAGCATGCACATTTTTTTTGCAAGATGCTGGCGTGGCACTAAAGCAGTCATCAGCGCTCACCGACAGATGCGAACCTCTCCGATTATTCATGCATGTGCTGAAGTCTGTAAAAGCACAACAGACAGGCTGTGTTGTCTTAAGACGGCGTGACGCTGGGAGGGGATTTGGCTGGAGAGAAAGCGAACTGGCCGGACCTGCGTTTGGAAACGAGAGTGTGGGATTTTTCAAACATGCTGCTAACAGATGCATACATGTGGAGAGTTTAGTCATACACACACACACACACAGTTGACATTTGCTCTGGATCTCTAATCTGTATTTAACAGACTTTTCCTTCAATAATGAGTTGTGCATTGGCCAGTAATCTGATAGTAGATTAACAGAAATCTCTCTCTCTCTGTCCTGCTCTTATGTTATGTTGGTGAAGTAGACTCCGATATTAAACTCCAGATTTGGCTTGATCATGGTTGTAAATGCATTTATTTCCCATTCTTTTTGCTCGGTCGGTACTCTTGCACGTGGCACTGATGCAACAGCATTTTTTTTTTTTTGCTCTGCTGGAGTGCAGAAACCAACCAGACGGCTTAAAATGACTCCAGTGCTCATTGAAGTGCAGTTTTTATTTGTCAGAATGGCTAAATTTGACTATTGTTAAACTATTAAAGAGCCCCTATCATAGCATTTAAAATGTTCCTATTTTTGTTTTAGGAGTTCCCAAAAACAGTTTAACATGCATGCAAGGATAAAAAAAAACACTTTATTTGTCTTATAATATGCATTTATTTTTAACTGATTTGCTCACCGACTCCCAAATGATTCATTTTTCCAAACCACTCCTTTGCGTGACGCTAATCGGCGGTGATTGGTCAGATGACAGACCCAGTCAGTTATTGTTTGTTAGCATAACGCATAAACATATTGATAAAGCGCTACAGTACTACAAGACGCTCTATTCTTTATGACAACTCCAATAACAGTGACAAACATTTCACATGTTTAAAAAAAATTGACATTGGAGACCTAGAAGCTGCGCTGAGCGTAACTTACACACACACAGATACACGCGCACACACATACTGCCTCGCGTCCCGACGCTACAAAACCGTTCAAAACCCATAAAAGCAACAATTATTAATAATACTTACAGGTTGTGATTCGAAGGAGGAAGCTGATCCCTCTGAGCCCTCCTTCGGGAACAACCGCTTGCGAATCCACATTTGAATTCATTTATGTTTTTGAACGATTAATTAAAATGATGAGAACACAATCGGGCTTTACTGTTGTGGTATCGTTGCAAATATGAACTCTAACCACCGATTCTTCACATGAAAACAAAGTGGCTGAACTATCTTTGCATTGTAGATCACAGCGTCTTCTCCACATGATGCTATGATGAAGTATTTGAATGTGTAGACTTCAAGTTTACACTGCCAATATGTATCAACGTCACTGCGAACCAGCTAATGACTCGTTTCAAAAACGATTCATTTCATAGACTCAGAGTCGACTCTCACTTTTGAAAGACAATAACTTTATATACGGTGCACTTTCAGATATAAATCTTTGCAGGATGTTTTCATTCCCTCAGAGCCAGTGTTGTAGTCGAGACCACCTCACTCGAGTCCGAGTCGACACCAAGACCAGAGAGAGTCGAGTCCGAGTCAAGACCGAGTCCATAGAGAGTCGAGTCCAAGTCGAGTCCGAGACCAGAGACGGTCGAGTCCGAGTCGAGACCGAGACCAGTGAGGGTTGATTACCTAATTTACTTTTATTTACTTAGAGAACTTACTTTTTATTTACTTTTTTTTTTTTTTTTTACTGAATTTACTTAGAGTTTAAAAAATATGATCAGTTTAGGGTAAAAAGGCCACATAGTAGGTGGTGTTAAAAGTAATTTTATTACAATTTGTCATGCGCAGTTGCGCACTAGAAAATCACTTTAAAGAAATATTTTATTAACATACATTAATAATCATGAAAAATATTTTGAATTGAACTCGAGTGGACTCGGGAATAATTCCGAGTCCTAAAAAAAAAAAATGTTCGAGTACGAGTCAATTCCGAGTCCAAATGGACACGAGTCCATGACAAGACCAAGACCATTAAAATATGGTCTCGAGACCGAGTCCGAGACGAGTCCGAGTCTCGAGTACTACAACACTGCTCAGAGCTATATTACACACCATATGAACAGTCATTTTCAAAAATCCATGATAGGGGATCTTTAAACTATTGTTGCACTGTTGAATACCCAGCATGCATTGTGGCAGGAGTTAAATCAGAGCTGTGTGTAGGCGCATGAGTGTGTTCTCGGGAAACAGTGAGGTCAGATCTATAGCTTGGTCTCAGAGGCGCATTAAACGTTCAATGGTTCAATATCGTAAACACAAAGGAATCTTATAGAATATGATGGCAGGGATTTTCCAACCCGAATATATGTTAACAGCAAACTTACAGGCCTGGAAAGATTTGCAGAGGGTTTTTTTTTTAGATAATGTGTGTGTGTATATATGTGTACTACACATTATCTGGAAAAAAATGCACATGATGGAATTTATATTCTTGATATAATAATTAAAATAAATACTAGTTTAAGACGTGTGGCATTGCACCTGGTTAGTGATACTTTTAGACATACTTACGACTCTCTGGGTTGTTGTACTGCGATATAAAACGCTGCTATTTGGGCTGATATAAAAGTTATGAAACATCAGATGGGAGTTTTTGGAAGGAACGTGGAATCCAGGCGGATTATGTGTGTGTATCGCAGATCCAGCGAAGAAATGTTAAGCTGTGCTTTTATAGTGGAGGTCATATGAGGGCGGAAGATAATATCAGCAATAATAATCAATCCAATCCGTGGCGTTAATCTGTTCAAAGGTGAATAACGACGGATGTGTCCGAGAAAAGAGACGAGAGCGAATGCCGTTTTCTGGGAAGGCTCTTGAAAATACCATTTATCTTTCCTGAAACCTGCATTTGTCTGCGAGAAACAATACAAACTCTATTTCCCCTGTAGAGAAGTCTGCACTACGCTATTGATTTCTCAGTGGAAAATTGCTCCGGAGTGAAACGCTGGAGTGACACTCACACACACACACACACACTGGCCTCGATGGGTGAGTGTGTGTCCGGTTACCGGTTTCCTCTGTTGCTTTAGGCCTTGGTTCCCAAACCGGGGCTCGTGAGTTGATAAAAAACGAATTGTTCATTCAATCATACACTGTAAAAATGAATATGCTTTATCTAATCAAAAAAAAAATTTAAAAAAATGTGGCAACAGATAACTAGCAATATTATTAATTAAATTTAACTAATTAGAATTGAGTAATAATTAATCAAATTAATTCCTTAAAAGTTAACCATTTAAAATGAGTAAAACTTACAACAACAACCAAAAAAACATAAATTGAAGTCACCATTATGGTGATCCTACGCTATCTCACGACCAATTCGTACGAGTGATTCAAAAGTGGCTAATTCGTACTAATTCATATGACCTCACTCGTACGAATTCGTACGATTTGTCTAAACTTACGTGACGGTTATGTTTAGGGGCGGGGTCATTCGTACGAATTCATACGAATTGGCTAATTCGTAAAATATGTACGATTTAGCAGAATCGTACTAATTCGTACGAGTGAGGTCGTACGAATTGTTATGAATTAGCCACCTCGTAAAATTCATTACGAATTCCCGGGTTGGGCGATCAGTGTTTGTTTTAAAATTACGGTTTTCTCCTTCCGTGATTCTGCTTGTTAAAATCAGGTGTCTTCAATGTTGGCAATATAAAAATAAAAAGTTCGTAATTAATCTTTGACGTCTGTCTGTTATAGTGAGATACTTTTGTTAATTTTTTTGGGTGTAAACTTTACTCATTTTAAATGGTTAACTTTTGAGGAATAATTTGATTAATTATCACTCAATTCTTATTTGTTAAATTTAATTAATAATATTGCGTGTAATCTGTTGCCACAATTCTATTGTTTAGATAAAGCATATTCATTTTTACAGTGTATAAATGTCAAATTTAAATAAATAAATAGCACAAAACAAGCATGAAATGCTTAATGTGATTCATGAAATCTCTCTTATAATGTGCGTTTGGACATGCAATGACTTTTTTTCACATTTGTATAATTTCCAACATGTTTTTAAAAAGCTTCATTTAAACACATAAAACTTTAATTTTTCTGCCAAAGTAAAAGCATGATGCTTTAAAGTTTGAAAGTGAAGAATTAGTTTTCTAACTTCTAATGTAATATGATTGTATTGTATTGTGTGTGTGTGTGTGATTTACGAAGACATTAATACCTTTATTTAGCAAGGATTCATTAAATTTATCAAAAGTGACAGTAAAGACATTTATAATGTTACAAAAGATTTCTTTGTTAAATAAAATCTTTTTTCTGTTCATCAAAGAATCCTGAAAAACAATTATTTTAAATTTGAATAATAACAATTTCAATATATTATATATATGAATGTACTTTTCAATTATTTGAAACGTAACTTAAAATCTCAGGGGATAATTGTAAAGAAAATATGTTTTGTCAAAGCAAAGGTGTCAGCTGGCAAACAAGTTTATGAATCCATCTCTATGGCTAATGAGCTCAAGGGATAAATAATGTGTGTGTTTTAAACGTTCTTCAGCGTTGTAAACACACACACACACACGCAGCTGCCGGTCTCTCATTCCCACTGTTCCCGCTCTCACGCTGATGCTGTTCCCTGGTGATCTGCCAATGGCCTCTCCCTGTGGAATGCACTGATAATAACCCCGGCTTTTATTCCAGCCGTTTCGAGCCAGTTCGTCTGTGCAGCTGAGCA